CATGGGTTTGTTAAGCGCAGCACAAAACAGTAGGTGGGGTTTCCACGGAAAAAAATTAACTTTTTTAAAATTTAATTCTAACTTCACATATACAGCAACAGAAATAAACTGTGTAGACCAAGTTTCAACACCCAATGCTCTCTAGTTCTTGCAAAATAAAATCATGAAGTTTGTCAAAAATCCAGGAAGCAGAGGGTTAAAAATTCTTGAAGTCAGAGGTAGTTCTAATTGAAGCTCATTTGGAGTGCAGAAGCATAGGAGAGTGTAGGGGTGCTGTGGAAGTACTGACGTAGAAGAGAGGCAAGTATTTCTTAATAATTTGTGCCTTGAACTTACTTAATACTTACTTAAGCTGGTTGTTTTTGTTGCATTAATAAATGCCAAAATGGCCAACCAAGCTCTTTTTGTTTTAATTATTCAAGCTTCAATACAAACAGGTTCCTCATGTTTGTTTATGACTGGGTGCAAACAGGTTCCACATGTTCATTTTATGAATGGGGTTAGTGGATGTGTTTGGTATATGTGAAAGAACCACTAGTCGCATCTAACCATTTGCATGATGACCTTATTTTTGATTTTAATGTTTGAATGGTTTATTAATATTACTACTATTATGATTATTGCCAATATTTGGGGGTTGTAGTGTATTGTGTCTAAAGTAAACTTGTTTCCATTCTTACTTCATTCAAGTGACTAAAATCTGACTATGCATGGAACCATTTTTGTCTGTGGTATTTAATCTTTTAATGTATGCACGTTATTATCACTTCATTTGTTCATGCATGTTGTCATCTTTTTAAGTCATTCTAATTATAGATATATTTGCTGCTATTTATGTAATGTCTAATAAGTCAATGAATTTAACAGGTAAGATGTTATACCCTAGTATAGTCATATATTCTCACTTAATTTTCAGTATCGTCTGAATTTAAAGGGCAACTGAAATGAATTTTTTGCATTTTTAAATTAAGTGATTTAGGCATACATTTACACAAAATATAACATTTGATGTACTTATATGCTGCTAAAAGCGTTCCTTTGGCAAAATATCACAACTTTAAACAGCAACTTTTTAGTGGCAGCCATATTCTTCCTGTTTTAGCAACACAATGGGTGTGTCGCAAATGTGATGTCATCAGATGAACAGCATGGACTCTTATTCTGATGCCAGCTTGAGCGGCTCAGAGATTTTTGATGTTTCTGAATCTCCAATTGATGATTTAAGTGGGATTGGACCTTACTCTTATGAGCCTGATGCTAGCAACTCTTCTTCCTGTGAAAATGAAAGCTCTGATGATGATACAAGATTGATCAACCTTCAATGGTTTGCAGTGGGCATATAATTTCAATAACTCATTACTGTTGTACATGTACATGTACATAGGTGCATTTGTCAGCATTGCCAAATTATGGACTCGACTCTTGAATGTAATTGTTGCCTGGAAAGACAGCAAGTTGTACATCTGTTACATATACATCCAGGCTTCAATGGGCCTTTGCAATGTATCTCTACTCATCCTGGATTTGAAGCAGTATGCTTGGATATCTATGTTCTTCATACAACCTACTATCAATATTGACAAGAACATGGCAATGTTTTGGCAAATAGAACCATCAATGAGTATGACATACTTATCTAGAATAATTATGTTAATCCAACTATAAAGACGTTATCGCTACGTTGCTTATCGGCAGTTTGTGAGGTGGACAATGGGATGGCTAGGGAAAGATGTTAGAATAGTACTGCCATCATGTGTGATAATGAAGATTAGAGAGACATTTTCATCCAATACTTTCAATGCTCAGATTTATGAATTATTAAATCTACTTTGATGTTTATTAATAGCTTCATCTTTGCTTGGGTGTTCATAACTTGCAGGTGGCGCAATTATGTTACTTATCTGCTTGATATTTTCTTCCAAGTTATTGAATACTATTTCCAATAGATCAGTAGCATATGCTATGATGATAAATTCATGGTTTTATACAGAGGTTATTGGAGCTTCTTACTACATGATGGTTTTTCCATAATTTTCCTAACAACATGGCCCTCTCTTTATATTTTGGGTAAGAGACACAGTATCTTTGTTTCCCTGCTTTAGTTGTGCTCTGCTGTCGTGCACTGTTTTTGTTGTAGTGAAGAGCTGCCAGGAGTAGTCTATAAGTAAAATGATTATTAAGCAAGAGCAATTAATTTACTGATCAGAACCTTGTTTGCATTTTTACATAAGAAAAGGCTATTCTTTTAGGAGCAATTTTTATTGTGACATTGTGAAATGATTCCAGATTAGAAGTCCGGTGTATAGGCGATAGTTCTTTCACCGAGTTGCAAAATATTTTGGAAGTAATGCATGACAACTTTTCACTGGCTTGTAAAATGTAATAACTTAAATTTCTTGCCTACTGAATTGAATTGACTTACATCTTTTTAGCCATTTCTTTTGTCTAGTTATTCTGCCATGTTTGCAATTTTTGAAATGTTTGCCATGCCCTTATGCTTATTATGTATGTGGTTATTGAGAGAAAGCCACTTTTCAAGGATAACTTCACTGTTGCCATTAGGTGTAGACACTGCTGACCAGTAAAGTTGATTGATAATGCCTCGTATCCACTCTCCAATAACCGAACAATCTTTTTCCTTTGCTAAAGTGTCTAGTTTTTTCCTCAAAGCTAATTAAAAATAGGTGGTGTGAAATTTCATTTGTATACCGTAT